CGCCGATCCGAGAAATCCGCGCGGACCTCCGAATTTTTAAGTTTGCGTCACTTTCTGTTCCCCTACTTACCTCGGCTTCCATGAGGCCGTTCGGGACGATCCGGGAACATCTCCCGGAGAACAAGGTGATCAAGGCCAAAGTAGCTTGGAGCATCATAAGCCTTGCACGCCTTTTCGGCCAGGCATTCTCCCGTCTGACCTCGGCTTCCCGGAAACCGCTCGCTCCGGGAAGAGATCTCCCGGAGACCGCCCTCCGCGAGGCGCAGCTGCTGGAGCACACGCCCCGAGGCTGGAGCACGGCAGAGAACAGCCACGGAAGCGCGCCGAACAAACACATCGAACCTCAAGCCTGTCGTCTCCCCCCGAGCGTGTCCAAGCCCGGCGTTGCCCCTAAGTCGGGTCTGTCCCCCTACAGGGGGAGCTTCGACGAAAAATAGAAGATACTCCAAAAATAATCAAACAATTGCCTGGGGACTATGTTTTGAATATTTTCTTGACCTTTTTGGGGGTATCTTTGGGGGACTTTATATTTTTTGTTAAAAATATCCCTGTGGGGGGACAGGCCCGACATAACGCTGCCCCGAGGTCGGCGGGCAGCGGCGGCGGCGAGCACCAGCGGGCCGCCAGGAGGGGGGAGGAGGGCAGCGCACCCAGTGTGCGCATCGAGGGAGGTATGCGGTGGCGCAGACGATGCGCGGGGGCATCCAAGCGGGGGGCGTCCAAGAGGGGGATCATGGCCTGGCCCGATGCGTGTGCGCAGGGGGGCGCCCAAGAGGGGGATCATGGCCCGGCCCGATGCGCGTGCGCGGCCCAGGGGAGGCAATTCTTCGAATAGCAAGAGGCGCCGTGAAAGCTGAGAAGGCAGCATGGCCCCGCCAACCTAGATCCCCCCTACCTGGACCTTCTCAAGTGCTGAAACATCACGCTCCAGACCTATAGACTTTCTGGACAGCTTAAAACCTCGACTGGAATTTAGATGTCGAGGTCCTGGTGTTCTTTTTTAGCCCTCCTGGGAAGTCAGAGTAAGCACCATCCCATCCTTGGACGCCCCCGAATGCAGGGACGGGCGCCGCGGCGAGGAGCTTGGCCGGGCACCGATCCCGATCGGTCGGAAGAGGGGGTGGAGAGGGCCTTGGCTTGGCGAGTCGAAATTGCAGCTGACACATACGATAATCCTGTCGGGAACGTTTGGATCGCGCGTCGCCCCGGCGGCCCTAGCGACACGCGATGCCTTGGGAGTGGATAGCGCGCCGCCCCGCTCTGCGGGACGGGAGGCTCGGAAAGGCTCGGGACAGGGACGCTCGGGGACCGCGAGGTGGAAAGCGTGTCGCACCGAAGCGTGGTGGGCCGGGACCGGCAGCGCGACACGGTCTCCAAAAGCTCCCGACCGTACACGCATGCGATAGCATGTTCGCGATAACGCCTGTGACAGGCCCGCCCCCGACTCCCTCCCCCTGGTCACGTCACGGATTGCGCCGGCGCCGTCTGGGAATGGGCCATTTCCAAGGATTCCTAACGCAAGCGCGAATCCTGACGTGACCGGCCCCCTCCCCCCTCCCCCCGTCGGTCATGCCCGGGGGTACAAAAAACTGGCTCTTGAGGGTCCTAAAGATATCCAATTGATTCTGCGGGTCCCTGGGGTCCTGGGGCCGTCGGGGGGTAGGAAATCCCACCAGCCCTCTGGGCGTCGGTGGTTTAGAGCGTTTCCTCTTCCACCCCTCCTTCTTCCCCTTCGGGGAGGGGTTTGCCCCTCCCCCTTACCCCCTCCCCGCTGACCTGGACAGGGGGGGCCGCGGGTAGTTAGAGCGTCCAAGATGGCCCAACACGGCTCCAAGAGGGCCTCAGGGAGCTCAAGATGACCTCCAAGATGGCTCAAGATAGCGCAAGATGCCTCAAGATGGCCCCCATGATGTTCCAAGACGCTCCAAGAACTCCCCCAGACGGTTCCACGTGCCCACAAGAGCATCATTAGGATGCATCCAAGAGGCAAAAATGCTTCAAAACCATGGGGAAATCAATGTTTTTGGTGTTCTCACTTTTTCGCTTGCGATGCACATCCGACGCGTCAAGATGGCTCCAAGATGGCTCAAGATAGCTCCAAGAGGGGCCCAAGAGAGCCTCAGGACGGCTCCAAGAGCGGCCACGAGCGCCCCAATAGCGATCCAAGAGGGGTCCAGGGAGCGATTTTTGGAGCTCCTGGGGGGGGGGGGGGCTGCAATTAGGGAACCCCACTTCCTTGGCCGATGTCCTCCAAAATTGCCCCAAGAGCGCCCCAGCAGGGCCTTCAAGGGCGCCCAGACGGGTCCAAGAAGAGCCCAAGCCTCCCAAAACAGCTTCCCAAGAGACTCCCAAGAAACCTCAAGAGTCTCCCTGAGGCCATTGGAAAGCTCCCCAGACGTCTCAAGAGACTTCCAATACTACTCCGAAAAGAGATCCTAGGAGGCTCTTATATTCGTCATGTGTCTTGCTCGTCCTTCTCTTCCTCCTCCTCCGCCTCCGCCTCCGCCTCCTCGTCCTCCTCCTCCTCCTCCTCCTCCTCCCCCTCCTCCTCCTCCGCCTTCTCATCCTCTTCCTTTTTCTCCTCCTCCTCCTCATCATCATCATCATCTTCTCCATCATCAGCATCATCACCATCATCATCATCATCATCATCATCATCATCATCCGTGTCTGCCTACTATGATACTCCTGCCCCCCTTCTCTTTATCCGCCAGATCACATGATTGTCCCGAGAAACATGTGATTCTTCCTGACCGCTCCCTTACTCGACGCCTCAATTGCCATCTATACTGTCCGAAGCAAGCTACAAAAAACGTCGGATGCGACTGCTGTTGCAGGAGATTGCGGCAAGGCCGCCAATTATCCTCCGCCTTCTCCTCCTTGTCCTCCTCCTCCTCCTCCTTCTCCTCGTCCGCCTTCTCATCCTCTTCCTTCTCCTCCTCCTCCTCTTCATCATCATCGTCATCCACTCAATCAGCATCATCCGTGTATGCCTACTATGATATTCCTTCTCCCCTTCCCTTTATCAGCCTGATCACATGATTGTTCCGAGAAACATGCTATTTTTTCCTGAGCGTTCCCTTACTCGACGCCTCAATCCCACCAGCCCTCTGGGCGTCGGTGGTTTAGGGCGTTTCCTCTTCCACCCCTCCCTCTTCCCTTTCGGGGAGGGGTTTACCCCTCCCCCTACCCCCTCCCCACTGACCTGGACAGGAGGGGCGGGGAGCGGTCAGAGCGTCCAAAACGGCCTCGGCGAGGAAGCCAAAATCATTGATATTACTATGGTTTTGGCCCCATTTTGGCCTTCTGAGGGGGCAGCGCTAATCAGAGCTCCCCTCTTCTTGGATCGATTTCCTCCACGATGGCCGCAAGAGGCCCCCAGGATGCCCCAAGAGGCCGCAGGATGGCCCAAAAATGGCCCCAAGAAGCCCCCCAAGAGGCCCCCAGGAGGCCCCCAAGAGACCCCCAAGAGGCCCCAAGAGACCCCCCAGAGGCACCCAAGGTGCTCCAAGGTGCCTTTTTATTATGGTTTGGGCACCATTTTGGCCTTCTGAGGGGGCAAAGATGGCCCCAAGAAGCGCCCAGGAGGCCCCCAAAGGCCCCAAGATGGCCCCAAGAGGCCCCAAGAGGCCCCCAGGAGGCCCCAAAGAGGATCCCGAACGGCCCACAGAGGCCCCCCCGAGGCACCCAAGACGCCGAAAAGCCCCTCAAGACGACCCTCTACTCGCCTGGGCGTCGTTTCTGGACGGGCTGGTGGGGATACGCGAAGCGTCTAGAATTCCCATGCTGCACCTGCTGGCAGTCCGATTTCCTGTTTGATGCTTGATGTGCCTTGTGCATAAGAAGAACAGGAGATCCGAGCTGAATCCAGCAGGCCCTAAAGGCGAACAAAAAGCGAAGGGAGCGGGCATCGATTCTTTGGTCCTTCTCTGAGGGAGACGGAGGGATGATGACGAGAAGGAGGCGGAGGGGCCCACCCCTGAGGCGGCCCAGCCTTGTACTTCATCCCCTTCTTCTCGCTCGAGCCCGCGCTCTTCTTCGCGGCGTCCTTGCTCTCCTGCGCCACGTGGGGAGAGCTGAGAAACCCGAGAAGGGACAGGAGGAGGAGGTGAGTATAAAGAAGAGGTGAGGAAGACAATCGAATGTACAGTCGGGGCGTTGACCTAAGGAACCCTAAATAAGGAACGATGCTCCTTTTTCCCATCAGTTGAACATCGATTTCCCATGGGAAACCTAAGGAAAACGCAGGGCAAACTGTAAAATGATCAAGGAACACCGATCGGTGTTCCTTGATTGTTTTACAGCCTGGGGGTTCCCAGCCCCTCCCCAACGACAAGGGTTCCTTCTTCAGCGCCCCGAATCTAAGACCTGGGCGCTGCATCTTGGCCACCACGGGCGCTCTCGCCCGACTCCGAGCCGCAGGACGACCATCACAGGTCCATCCGGCTCGCAAAAAATGGCACAGAAATCTGGCCTCCAGGATTGGGGCAGTCATTTGTCGGGGAGACGTAAGACCCGGGGACGGGGGACTCGGAAATCCCCGACGAGGTCGTCAAAAAAATGACGAGGCCGAGCCTGCATTTTGACGAGGCCTCCCGCTGCAGACATCCCACGAAACTCCTCCTCGTCAAAATCCGAGTCGCGGTCGTCAAAAAACGATGGCGAACCCGAGTCCCGGCAAACCCGGGTCTTACGCTCCCCCGAATTTGGCGAGATGTTGCATATCAGAAAAAATTCCAGGATTCGGGCATATATCAGAAAAAAAGGCAGGGAGAGGAGCAAGCTACGGGAGCTCGCGGCATGTCTGACACCCGATCTCTCCCACGCAACTCCTTCCCACTGCGCTGATGCCATTACTACTCGCCGGTCTGGGTGCCCGTAATGACATTGATCCCCACAGTGGCCCCGTCGTGTGCTGCGGAATCAGACAGGGGGGCTCTGCACATCGGACGAAGAGGGGCGGGCTGGCGAGAAAGGAGAAGCAGCAGGAGCAGGAGGAGCAGAAGGGGCGGGAGGACCAGGGGAGGGCGGAGGAGGGAGGAAGGAGGGGGGACGGCAGCGACGGGGAACGAATCGGATCCAGAAACGTGGCCCACGCTGGGGCGAGAGCGCAAATCCGAATGCGGTGAACGCTGCAGCGGGAGCACCATGTTTGAAGGACCAGGAACGTCCTGACGGAACCATACCAACTCGAAAAACAAATCGGGCAAATCCTGTGTGAAAAATTCTTGAGCTCGGGAAACAGGAGAGTAGAAACTAGTTCCCCAATCAGAGCTTGCCTCTGTAGAGGTCCGAGCGGATTCATATGGTTAAGTGGCGTTTGGCGCCGATTTCGGCGGCTCGCCCAGGTGCCCGGGTGCCCGGTAGCCCTATAGCCCTATAGCCCTATAGCCTGATAGCCTTATAGCATTACAGCCCTGTAGCCCTGTAGTCCTATAGCCCTCTAGCCCTCTAGCCCTCTGGCCCTATAGTCCTATAGCCCTATAGCCCAGTAGCCCTACAGCCTAATAGCCTTGTACTATAGCCCTGTAGCCCTGTAGCCCTATAGCCCTACAGCAATATAGCCCTATAGCCATATAGCCCTATAGCCCTATAGCCCTATGGCCCTATAGCCCTATAGCCCTAAAGCCCTAAAGCCCTGATAGCCCTATAGCCCCAGAGCCTTCTAGCCCTGTAGCCCTATAGCCCTAAAACGGATTATGATTGGGTTTTCTCTCTGGAATCATACTCATGCTGTGCGTTTGTGGAGAAGATTTGGGAGGAGAAGGGGTACCCGCCCATACCGATCCTCTACCGATTCCTCTCTCCCTCGCCTTGCCAGCTGCCGTTTCCCCCCAATTACCCGCTGGCTCGGCAATATGATGCTGCTCCTTCATCCCCTGTTCTCTTCTGCTGCTAATGTTCCTCGTCCTCTTCGCAAGCGATGTGCACTTTGACTGTTTCTTTCCTGCTCCGACACAACCTCGCCCAAAGAAGCACAGGCACGACTGAGCATCCGATGGTCAAGAGGAGGGCTCATACTGATTGCACGCGGTCGCACAGTTAATGCTATCAAGGTGTGCCATGGTTGTTCCGAGGATCCCGAAAGTTGCCAGCCACAACGGCATCCACAAACTCTGTGAGTGGTTGGATCCTGGAAGTCGGCGTCGTCGAAAAACACCTTGCCCTTGTCATAGATAGCTGGGTCTTTGGACCGTATCTTGTGCAGGGTGTCGAATATCTTCGTCTCCACCTGCGCTCGGCTGCACCACCCTTTGATCGACCCGAGAGCCGCATGGCCAAGCCACTGTGGCTCCGAAGCGCCCGGTCGCAGAGCAGCGCCAGACTCTGCTTCTTTGGAGAAACTTCAACATGAACAAACTGTCTGAGGTCCGCACGCTCCGCGCTCCACGGAGGGGGGACCAGCGCCGATCCAGGAAATCCGCGCGGACCTCAAAAACAAAAAAATGCCATATCTTTCGTCTTCTATTCTTTTTTCGGGCCGCCGGCACATGAACTCCTGCACAGCTAAGGTGGCCGGCCAAGCCAGCTAAGCCTGTCTGCACCAGAGGGGGAACAATCGGCACCAGCAACCTCGACCCCCCCGCTGCCAATCTTCATGCCAACCGGCCGCCACAGGGGCGGCAGAAAAAAAGGGTCTTGCGCACGAGAGCATGCCGTCCTTTCACGGTGGCTTACACGGGCCGCCAGAATGGCGGACCGCTTGGGGAAAAAGTCGCTGACGCGCGACCCTACGCGAGGAGCGGGCGCGCAAATGGAGGGGGGGGCGCGGCCGACCCTGCGTCGCTCAAATTGAGGGGGTGCCGGAAAGCTGGTGGTTGGCTAGCTCCGCATTGCTTCCCAGACCCCCGTCGTCCTCGCCTGTTCATCTCCAGGAATTTAAAACCCTTCCTCAGAAGCGGCTTTTCTTCCTGAATCGTTTTTGACAGTCCCAGGGACTAGTCAGACCAGTCGGAGCCTCCAGAAGCCCAGGCATGCTAAACCCTTTCGGCCCAATGCATTCGTTTCGCGACTCGGGGGGGGCCTGGCAAGCGAAGGCAAGCGCCGAAGTTCACCCTCCGAGTAGATGCCCCCATGGGCCTCGGTTTCGGCTCATGGGCGACGCCCAGCGCGCTCAGCACAGTTCAGCGCCCGCGGAAAGGGAATCCCTGGGCGCACGGCTCCTGATGAGCCGTCGGCAGGGAGCCGCGGGGCGAGGGAGGGAAATGAGGTGAGGGGGGCCGAACATTGGAAGAGGCCAAGTCGAGCTGGAGGCCCACCAAATGGAGCCCCTGGACTCCGACCGGACCTGCCCCAACTGGACGCAGCAACGCCCGAGGGGAGGAGGAGCCCCGCCAGAGGCCCACCAGGCCCACCGGGTGAGCCGCAGGCTGGCCATGTCCTCCTACAGGCGGACTTTCGAAGACAAGTAAGCCATAATAGACAACATACTTCAGAAGAGCCCAAGCATACTCCAGATTTCGTAATAAACGGGAGGGGGTCTGGACCCTCCAAGACAAGCCATTTCAGACCTCCCCCGTGGGAGAACCCTCCAAAACATCGTCCCCAGACCCCCCAGGCCCTCCAAGATAGCCTGGAAGAGACCCCCCCCGAAATGAGACCCCCCTCCCTTTATTACGAAATCTGGAGTACTCGAGAGTCGCTCCCAGCCTGCTTCCTCTGACACTGTCTAGAGCTCCCCCCTGCAGAGAGACGGGCCCGACCCTAAGGTGAGCCCCTCGGCTCCGACTGGACCTGCTCGAGAGCGGAGCTTGCGCGCCCCCCCCCCCGAGCAAGAGGGCGGAGGGGGGCACCGGCTCCGGAGGGGGGACGCTGCGCGACCTGCCAGGCCGACGGGCGAACACAGAAATCTCTCGAGGCGACGGAGGAACATTCCAGAGGCGAAGGAGGAAATCTGCCCCCCCCCCCCACACACGAGCCAGGAAGTTGTTTCGGGTCCACCGAGGAACGCGAGCGGACGCGAGCGAGGCGAACCAGGGCAACCTGAGAACGCTCTCGGCGAGGCGCAGCTGCTAGAAAACATCCTGAGGCTGAGAAAACGCAGGGAGATCACGAAAACGTTCGCGTACCTTTCCGAATCCCGACTGGAAGGTCAGGAAGGGGAACACCGACCTGGAATCGGAGATACATCGTCGATATATCGGCGGCAGGCCCCAGGTAGCGAAACCGCATGCTCCTGGGCGGAATGGGTTATCAGGCCTCTATCGGCGATGAGTGCGCAATCAGGATTCAATGCGTCCCCCCCTGAGCCGAACCCCCCATATCGTTGCCTCCTGGTTTTCAGTTCATAACTCGGCTCTCCAGCGGCCGTTCGGGACGATCTGGGCAGCCCCAAAAAGCTGTCGGCGAGCTGCAACTGCTGAAAACATTTCGAGGCTGGGAACGTTTCTGACACCGCCGGGGACCCACAAAAACTCCAGAAAAAACCTCCAAACTCAAACCTCGAACCACTGAACCGATCCCCTCCCGAACCGACCCCCCCCCCAACATTGACCCTGAGATGGGGAAAGTACACACTCGAAACGAATACGGAACAAATGGGTACGATACCCAACATCAAAAGTTGCCGCAAACCGACAGCGGCCGCTGTTGGGCAGGCGGCCTTCTGTCTGAAACGGACAACGTCCGCGACGACACCGCCAGCGAATCCGGTTCAAAATGAACAGAAAATGCTGTCGATCATTGTGCCCATGTTTTCCTTACCCATTTCTCGAGTAGGTGATCGACTGCAGAATTGATGTACCCCAAAATTGAGCAGTGACCGACCGTCCCGGCATTCCTATAGGCCAACCACGACATGTTATTATAACCCAAACGTGTTCTAATAATAAAAACAATGTTCCTAGAACATAAACCCGATGTGCAAATACAAGACAGTCCCAGCCAGAACAGAACTGTTCTCTATTAGTAGTAGAAGCCACACAATATGCTTAAAACGTTGCTGGGTGGGCCTAAAAAACAAGCCAGGACGCTTCGCCACTGCTCGACAAAGTAGTTCTTGTTCGTCGAATATGAGACACACACGTAGAATGTTAGGGGGTATACGAACCTTCTATGTTGAGAACCCTCGACGAACACACCATTCCGGGGCAACGCAATTATGTAGTCGACGTCCTGCGTGTGTAAAGAGTCCTCCTAGATGGGGTCGGAGTAGATGGGGTCGGGTGATCGCACCACATCGCTGATACATCGGCAGTGCATCCGCGATGCATCGGCGACACATCGGAGATACACTGGCGATGCATCGTCGACGCCGGCGGTGCATTGGCGACGTCGGAGTGAAGCAAATCGGGCTCCGCATCGAGCCGCATCGGAGATACATCGGCGATGCGGCGCGATCCTCCGACCCCATCTACTCGGACCCCCTCTAGAATTATGTCGGGCGTGTCCCCCTACAGAGGGATTTTCAATTCAACGAAAAATCAAAAATACCTCCAAAATGCACCAAAAAGGTCAAACAATACAAACAAATAGTCCCCAGACTATTTTTGGATTATTATTTTTTACTATTTTGGGGGTATCTTTTATTTTTCGTCGAAAATCCCCCTGTAGGGGGACAGGCCCGACTTAACTATAGCCGATCTCATACTCGAAGCTCGATCGCCCCGAATCAGGGGAGGCCTGGAGAGGACGAGCGCCGGCCGCGGCCGCGCCGCTCACGGGCTGGAGGCCGGGACGTCCCAGTCGGGCCCGTCGCCCGCGGCGGCGCCGCTGCGCCAGCTCTCGCGCAGGATGCCCAGCAGGCCCTCCAGAGGAGGGGGAGGAGGAGGAGGAGGAGGAGGAGGAGGAGGAGGAGGAGGAGGAGGAGAAGGAGAAGAAGGAGAGGAGAGGAGGAGGAGGAGGAGGAGGAGGAGGGAGGAGGAGGAGGAGGGTGAGGGGGAGGAGCAGGAGGAGGAGGAGGAGGAGGGGAAGAATCCAGATATGAGACGATGTGTGTTTCTAGTCCTTGTGATTTTCCCAGATTTCGGGGTCCCCGGACCTCCGGGGCCGCGGACTGAAAAAACAGATCGGCGGATGCCCAGCAGGCCCTCCAGAGGGAAAAGAGGAGTAAGAGGAGAAGGAGGAGGATGAGGAGGATGAGGATGAGGATGAGGATGAGGATGAGGAGGAGGAGGAGGACCCTGACATCGTTGCGACGTGAACACAATCACGACAAGAGGTTCTGGCCCATTTTGGCCCTCCTGGGGCCCTCATCGAGCCCGAGGGCCGTCAACAAAGACGGCTCGGGGCTCATCGGGAGCGGCCAAGAGGGGGGTGTCCAAGAGGGGGGGGTGCAAATCATGACCGGCGGCATGTGCGCGGCCCAGCGGGGGGGCCAGGGACGTCATGAAACAAGAAGGGGCGCCATGAAATCAAAGGAAAAACCATTGCCCCCGCCATGATATCCCCCCCCCCCTAGTCTTGGTAGTCCCCAAACGTGGTGGTGACAACACCTGGCGGTGAGTCTCGGGCGATTTGGTGTCACCACCCGGTTTGGGGACTCGTGCGGTTTTCCGAGGATGTCCCGGACACTGGTGGGGTCCAGGAGTCACAAAACCCGGTGGTGACCCCGCGTCCCCAAACCCAGCGGTGACCTTTTTGGGGATTCCAGGTCACCACCTGGTATCTCACCACCCGGTTTGGGGGTTCCCAATAGTCATCACCCCCCTCTTTGCCGCCCCCGAGCTCAGGAGGAAGCGCCGGTCCCTGGGAAGGGGTCAAGACCTCCGGGGGGGGGGGGGGCACGCTGCGAACGCAATCGCGTTGCCGAAGGGACCAGCGATGGCAGGACCAGGGCGGGGAGGGGAGGCAGGGGGAGGGGGGGAAGGAGGAGGAGGAGGAGGAGGAGGAGGAGGAGGAGGAGGAGGAGGAGGAGGATAATAAGAATCATAAGGCGATAGTAATAATACGTTCTAATAATAATGATAATACTAATAATACGAATACTAATAATACTAATAATCATACAAATACGACAACCAATACAATAACAACAATAATGATAATAAAAAACAATAATAATAATACTAATAGTAATAATAATAGTAGTAATAATAATAATAAAGAAGAAGAAGAATAATAATAATAATAATAAGAAGAATAATAATAATAACGAGGAGGAGGAAGAGGAGGAGGAGAAGAACGAGGAGGAGGAGGAGGAGGATTCGAGGTTCGAGGGTCGGCCACGTGCTCCGGGTCGCACTTCGCCGGAGGAAGAGAGCGAGAGGGGCAGGGACAGCACGGGCGGTGGAGCTGCGAGATGCCGGAGGGGGGGGAGGGAGCCCGCCCCCCGCTCCCAAAGGGCTTGACGACTTCCTTCTCGTCCATCGACCTGTGGGGATCGAGCCGGATAGATCGAGGCCAACGCAAAGAGAGATCGACGCAAATCTAGGCACATCTGGGCAACTCCGAGGACATCCAGGGAGATTATGAGGCCTCTGGGGAAACTCGGAGCAAGTCGCGGCCGCGCCAGCGCGAGTCGAGGGACATCTCAGGTCGCGAGGCCCTCCACGGCCCGCACGGAGGCCCCCTCCCCCGAAGAGGAGAGAGTTCGGTGGCACCCCACGGGAGCCTCCCATGCCGTCTTGTCGGCCCAAATCGACGCTAGTCGGCGCTAAATCGACGCTAAATCGACGATCATCGGCGCTAGCCGACGCCAAATCGGTGCTAAATCGACAATAAATCGACGCCAGCCGACGCCAAGTCGGCGCTATCTCATCGACTCCCAGGCGCGAAGCGAGGCGAATCGACGCTCTAAGCGGAATGAACAGGGTCTGTCAGGCTCACGTGATTTGCTACCGAAAGAATCGGGGGCGGCCTCACCGACCCCTGGAAAACCATCCCCTTCTGTGACGTCACTCTCGCCTTTCGAGCTCCCCTCGCGCCGCATACATACGTCTTGGGGCGAGGCGGGGGGCACGTGACGGAAGGGGATGGTTTTCTAGGGTTAGGTCGGGCATGTCCTCCGACATGCAGATTTTGGACAAACAGTGAAAAATGTTCAAACCATGCTCGAACATTAACAAGATTTTGGGCAACATCGAAATCCAAAGACCTGCAATTAAATTCGATGAATCAGTAATTGTGCGAAGGTGAACTTCGTTCTGCTGATATGGAGCGGCACCGCAGGCTGGGCGGCCGTGACGGACCTGTGAATTATAGAAAGGAACAGAGATGAACGGCCACCTGCCTTGGGAAATGTTTTACTTAAGGCAAAACGGTTTGAGCCAAAATGGCTGCGGAGGATGGAGCAGGAAGAGGAGGAGGAGGAGGAGGAGGAGGAGGAGGAGGAGGGAGAAGAGGAGGAGGAGGAGAGGAGGAGGAGGGAGGAGAGGAGGAGGAGGAGGAGGAGGAGGAGAGGAGGAGGAGAGGAGGAGAGAGGAGGAGAGAGGGGCGGGGGCGGGACGGGGCGGCCAGCGGCAGCTGGCGCCTCCAGCTCGGGCCGTAGCCGCGCGGCGTCGAGGTCGGAGCGCTGGAGCTGGACGTCGAACTGGTGCGAGAGCAGGAGCAACAGCAGGCCCCTGGGCATCTTCGGACCGCCGCCGCCGCCCAGTCGCTGCCTCCCCCCCCCAGAGGAGGATCGGAGGAACGACGAGGAGGAGCCAGGCGAGGAGGCGGAGCAGGGGCAAGAGGGGGAGGAGGAACAGGAAAAAGGAGCCCTGACCTCCTCCCTCCTCCTTCTCCTCCTCCTCCTCCGCCTCCTCATCCCCCTCCTTCTCCTCCTCCTCCTCTTCCTCCTCTTCCTCCTCCTCCTCCTCATCCATTCTCATCCTCCTCCTCCGCCTCCTCCACCTCCCTCCTCCTCCTCCTCCTCCTCCTCCTCCTGCTCCTCCTCCTCCTCCTCCTCCTCCTCCTCCTCCACCTCCAACCTCTCGCATCTGCCTCCTCCCTCCCGCCCTGCATCCCTCCTGGACGCCGCTCTGGTGCGAGCAGGAGCGGCAGCAGGCCCCCTGGGCATCTCTGGGCCGCGCCGCCGCCCAGGCGGGAACGGCCCCCAGACTTGCTCGCGTCGCGAGAGATTCGCGAAGGGGGGCCCTCCTCCTCCTCCTCCTCCTCCTCCTGCTCCTCCTCCTCCTCCTCCTCCTCCTCCTCCACCTCCAACCTCTCGCATCTGCCTCCTCCTCCCTCCCGCCTTGTTCGCGTCGCGAGAGATTCGCGAAGGGGGGTGATCGTCGGTTCTTGGCCCTGGGGGGCCCTCGCCGGGGCTGGGTGTCGTCAGCAAAACGCGCAGGATGATGAACAGCCAGTCCCGGGGAGGGGGTCCAGGCCTCTGGGGGTCCACGCTGTGAGAACATCGTGACGTCGGGGGTCTGGGTTGAGCCGATCCCCATTCCCACTGGCATGGCCCTGGCCCCACTGGCCGAGTCACCCCCCTGGGTGGGGGCATATTCAAGGGGCCCCAGGACACACAAATGAATACACACAAATAAACTGAGTCCCCTATATTTTTCCATATTTTCTGGGTTTTTGTCGTCCCGCTCAATTCCCATATTTTCCTATATTTTCCTGGGAGTCGACGATTAATTGTGTCTGTGTTTTTTCCCTCCTGACATATGATGTTATCTTCGGAATTCGCGGGGCCCATCCCCACCTTGGGTGGTGGGGCTGGTGGGGCCGAGGACAGGGATCGAGCAGATGAAGCCGAGGATCGGAGGAGGGAGGGAGGGAGGATACAGATGCAGGCGCTGTGTGCTGCTTAATTAGAATTAGATGACGCCGAGGATCGGAGGAGGGAAGGAGGGAGGATACAGATGCAGGCGTTGTGTGCTGCTCATCGGCTCTGAGAAAGATTGCGGGTGCATTGTGCAGTCGCAACAGATTTCGAGGACGGGCGGTGAGGACGCAAGGGCGTTGGACGCAGAAGTTGGCAGGGTGGAGGGCTGCCGACACCCCAGGGACGCAAGAGCACCCTGACCCAACCCCCGTCCCTGCCGAATGGGCAGCGTCGGGACAGAAGCCAGAACCAACGGAAGGGCGCACAGGGTAGCCTCAAACCCCGCGCGTCCCTCCTGGGCGCGGCGCCACCAGCAGCAACAGGGCAGATCTGCTCGGCCCGGCGACGCGGCGCCCCCTGCGGCCCGCCTGGGGCGCAGCCTCGCGCCAGGGCGCTCGCGCCCTGCCCTTCTCGCCCGGCGTTAAAACAGGGCTGGGATCGGGATAAATCGCTCCAGAGCGTTCCGGAGCGCTCTGAGAGCGCTCCGGAACGCTCTGGAGCGGCCGCGGCGCCCAATACGTCCTCCAAACCCGCCGATCCTCAGAGATTTCGAGTTATCCCGATCCGATTTTGTCCCGATCCTCGCGTCGTTTTGGGCGTCCTCGCGGGCGGCGCCGGTGCGGTGTGGTGCGCCTCGGCCCTCGTGGGCCCCGCGGGCGCTCCAGGCTGCGGGCTGCCCGGCGCCGCGAGAGAGCGCTGCGCCGTGGGCCTCTCGCGGGGGCCGCGGCGGGCCCGGGGCGGCGCCGACCGAGAGCCCCCGCCGCGGGGGCCTCCGCCAGGCCCTCGGCTGCGCCCCAGGGCGGCCAGGCGAGCCCGGCCTGGCCCGCGCCCCTCGGGGCCGCGCCGGCGACGGGGCGCGACGGCCCAAGGCGGGGGCGGCGCGCGAGGATGGCCAGGGGCACCCCTGCCCGGCTCGCGGCCTCGGGCCTCGGGCGAGGGCCACGCCAGGGTGCGTGCCTGGCCGCGACGCTGGCGCCTGGAGGGCGCGAAGCCGTGGTGCTGAGGACGTGGGGTGTGTGATCGGGTCGGATGCGTCACGATCTGCCTTGCCAGCCGCCCGCCTCTGCCGACCTCTGCGCCGCAAGGGTCGAGGAGGCACCGCGGGCCAGGCCAGGCCAGGGCGGCCGAGGTGCCCTGCCCTGTCCGCGCCCTGAGAGCAGTCCCCTCGTGCGGCGTTCCGCCGCGCAGCCGAGGGATGTCGCCCGCTCCAGGGCGGCCCTGAGGAGCTGAGGGCCCCAGGACGGCTCCACGAGGGGCCCCAGGTGGCCCCAAGAGGGACCCAGGAGCTATGTACCAACTGGGGGCCCGCTGGTACATGACTCCTGGGCTTCTCTTTTGGGGCCACCATGGGCCACTCCTGGAGCCGTCTCGGGGCTCTCTGGCAGCTCGCTCGGGGGCTTCTCGGGGTCCAGAAGGAGGAAGAAGAGGAGGAAAAGGACGAGGGGAGGCAGGAGGAGCTGCAGGAGGAGGAGGAGGCAGAGGATGAGGCTCGGATGAGGGGAGGGAGGAGGAGGAGGAGGAGGAGGAGGAGGCGGACGAGGAGGAAGAGGAGGAAGACGGCGATGGCATCAAGCTTATGCACAAGAACTGCCACCATCCAGAGGTCCAGAGGAGGAAGAGGAGGAAGAGGAGGAGGGAGGACCCCCCAGAGTCTGGGGGCGGCCCAGAGTTTGAACAGCACCTTTTTCAGATCAGGCTGGTTGAGAGACGCTGGCCCAGCTTTTCGGGAGGAGATTTCTGAATCATACCCTCGACTGTAGGCTGCCCCGCCCCTCTCGTTCTCTCCCTTTCCCCTCGATGGTTCGGGCGGACGGGTTGCGGAAGTGGCTCTCCTGCGCCACCCTGTCCCGAAGCAGGGCTGGTCCGACCTGGTCTAGGCTCGGCGGCGAACGAGGGGGGGGGAACTGAGAAGGAGAAGGCCTTCTCAGAAGGCGGCGGGGCATCCGAAAAATGTTTATCAGCTTCTGCAGGGAAGGCTCGGAACACTTCTCAGAGGGCCCGGGGACTTTCGACGAGCCGTCTGAGCGTGCCCGCCCCCTCTCGCTTTCTCCCCGGCTCGCCGCCGAGTCTCTGATTTTCCCCTCGAGGGCTCGGGCGGACAAGTTTCGGCTACACGCTTTGGTGCGCGGCTTTGGGGGGGCCGCGGGGAGGCCAAATCCAGGCGCGCTGGCCGCTGCTACCGCCTCGCGTTCGGCCATCTGGGGGCCCATCTGTGCCCGCACCAAAGGTCACTCCGGCGAAAGGTCACTCTTGCGTCTAGTCGAAAGTTGCGGAAGTGGCTCTCTTGCGCAGCCCCCGGCGCGCTCCCGAGCTGAGAACGGCACCTGCCCGGCCCTTCGTTGCGCGCGCGCGCGCCTCTCCACCTTCCATCGGGAAGCGCCCCCCCCCATTCTCCTCCTCCTCCTCCTCCTCCTCCTCCTCCTCCTCCTCCTCCTCCTCCTCCTCCTCCTCCTCCTCCTCCTCCCCCTCCCCTCTCCCCCTCCCCTCCCCCTCCTCCTCCTCCTCTCCTCCTCCTCCTCCCTCCTCCCTCCTCCTCCTCCTCCTCCTCTCCTCCTCCTCCTCCTCCTCCTCCTCGCCGCCTCCGCCTCCGCTCCGCCTCCGCCTCCTCCCTCCTCCTCCTCCTCCTCCTCCTCCTCCTCCTCCTCCTCCTCCTCCTCCCTCCTCCACCTCCTCCTCCTCCTCCTCCTCCTCCTCCTCCTCCTCCTCTCCTCCTCCTCCTCCTCCTCCTCCTCCTCCTCCTCCTCCTCCGCCTCCGCCTCCGCCCCCGCCTCCGCCTCCGCCTCCGCCTCCTCCGCCTCCGCCCTCCTCCTCCTCCTCCTCCTCCTCCTCCTCCTCCTCCTCCTCCTCCTCCTTCCTCCTCCTCTCCTCCTCCTTCTCCTTCCCCCCCCCCCCCCTCCTCCTCCCTCCTCCTCCTCCTCCTCCTCCTCCTCCTCCTCCTCCTCCTCCTGGTTCATGGTTCATCCTTGGGCGGCCGCCTGCGGTTGCAGGCGGACGCCGCTAGGTCGCAACACGACGCGGCACCTCAGTACACCGCGCAGAAGAGCACCAAACCCTCGCTGATGTGCCCGCTCCCTGTATAGGGCCACGCGGGCGATGCACAAGGTCCAGTTTCGATACCTGACAGAGCACCAAGCCTCCAGTATCGCGAAACGACACCCTCGTTGATGCGCCCGCTCCCTGTATAGGGCCACGCAGGCGATTCACAGGGCCCAGTACTGATACCAGACGAAGCACCACGCCTCCAGTACCAAGAAAAGAGATGCAATCAGACATCACATCCACAAGCTGAACTCCCAAGCCAATCACAAGATCAACACAGGGATCCAGCAATACGTCAAAAAATAGTCACAGCTTCATCTGGGCCATGACCGACGTGTGGAACTCGATGGAGCGCGCTTTGGCAAATCGAGAAATCCACTTAATCTGGTTCTTCCTGACGGCTGGGTCCTTAGACGCCCCAGGACAAACTTCTTTGAGTTTGAGCACCTTCTTTGTGACGTCCGTAGAGGAACCAGCACAACGTACACAGACGCACGCCAGACCATCCCATTGTAACGCGTGGCCTTGGCCCGAAAAAAGGGTGTGCGCTGCCATCTGGGGTGCCTCTGACGAATCCACCACCACCTGCTCTGAAAAGGCTTCACCAATTAGGGCATCTGCTAGTTGCACGGCTTCATGCACTGCCTCACTGCGCACAGGCTGGTAAGTGAGGCCCTTGGGAGTACCAAAAAAGATGTCACACTGCAATCTTTGATGCTCCGACGCGCGACAGTGCTTGCGAATACCCCAGCCCAAGTTGTCCAGGTG